AGAGTTTGAGAATCTCAAATAATTAATAAACTGAAATAATATGTTACATTCTTTAAATAAAGAAGATAAACTATTAATAAACTTTAAGTATGATACATTACCTTTCGTTGCTTGCGACATGAAACTCTTGATCTGCTTCTGATCTGTTCATGAGACTGCAAGAGCAGGAGCAAGAGAAGACCATAGAATATTACAATTATAAATAGGAGATTATACTATTCTCTCGGACCCAGATCTCACTCACTCTACTCTCGTTATCGTAAGCACTCATTGTTTCGGGAGCGGTGCACTTGGACACGGTGCATTTGGACACAGCCAATCACAGCACCGTGTGATTAAAGACATTTGTAGGGTCTCTTGGAACAGCGACTTGTGATTAGACTGCCGGGGGTACAGACTCCCCTCTTAGAAACCGGGGGACGGGTTTTTGCAGCGCCACCTTAGTACGTACCGGACCGGTGGAACTAAAATAGGTCACGTGATGCGGAGTGGGGATACGCACTATATTGAAATCCAGTACACACATACATATATATATATATATATATATATATATATATATATATATATATATATATATATATATTGAGCGTGTAATAAGTAATTTCGTATTTTTTTGGTAAAATAAAACAATACTTGTATGTTGTTATAATTTCGTGTATACGAGCAGTGTATAGCAGTGTAAGCAGTGTATACGAGAGATGGCAAATCATATTGAGTTGTTCAAAAAGTCATTGCATTTTATTCCGGTGATTTTCAAGAGCGTTTATTTTATACACAAAGAATTGACATGAATGCTGAACGGAAAGACTTTTCGAACAACTTAATAGATCAATATACATTGTTTCGTGAAATTATAATGATATAAAAATTCAATTGTTCCATTTTACCTGAAAAATAAGAAATTACTTATTATTCAACTGAATATATATATATTTTTTTTCTTTTGTGGTATGTATATGTGTGTGTGTGGTTCGCAAATCTTATTGAAATGAACTGTATACAATTTTTGTTATATAAATATGTGGATATATATTATAAATATAGTTTGTACATATTTTTGTTTTATAAACGTGT